ATTTTAAATTAAAAATTAATTTTTATTTTATAATTTAAAATAAATCAATAAAAAATCAAACACGTATCATCAATAATTAAAATAAAAATCAATTTCACCATTTTTAAAATAAAAAGTAATAATTATTAACCAATAATTATTTCTTATGCCACGTATAAATAAATCCTATTATTTAATCATTTCACGTCGTATCACACGAACAGAGTTTCCCACGGGTCATAATAGCATGTGCATTTCACTTGCTAAGTCTTTACCCGTGAGACATGGCGCGTGCTTGTACTCCAAGTATTAGTCTCACGCGCCAAGTCCATGGGATCCGTAAATGACCCGACTTACATAGACCCGTAACCCGTTCCTTCCTTTTCCTGCCAGTTATATGAATATGGGCTGGACCAGCCCAATCAACAGATGGCTGTTTGCTTAACGGGCTTCACATAAATCGGGCCTTCACACGGCCTTGTTTATAAAGCTATGCAGAAAAACGCAACGGGAACTGAAGTGAGAACAGAAGCAATCGCCGGTCTTCCCGTTCGCCGTGTTTCTACCCTTCTCCGATTCGATTTCGCGCTAAACAAATCTCTCTCCGGCACGTCGCCGATTCAAGTCAACAGAACCTCGAAGAAGTTTCTTCAAGCTCGTTAATGGCTTCAGTTCCTTCCAAGCTCTATGCAGGTCCCTCTTTCTCTATAGATATGCATAGTAACTAATCCATGAATACGCATTGTTTCAATTGCTCGTCGTTTGATTTTCTTTTTGGTTGATGTTGTTGCAGACGACGTTAGCCTTGTGATGGTGTTGCTGGACACGAATCCTTTCTTCTGGAGCTCATCCACTCTCTCTTTCTCCCAGTTTCTTTCCCATGTAATCTCAAAACCCTTATGAACATTAGTTGATTCAACATTCGAGAAATGAGCATTATTTTACGAGAACTGACTGTGTGTCTTTTGGATTGTTATTATGTCTGTATTTTTTAAGGTTCTTGCGTTTGTAAATGGATTACTGACCCTCAATCAGCTGAACCAAGTTGTGGTCATTGCCACTGGGTATAATTCCTGTGATTATCTATTTGATTCGTCTTCGGATACAAACCGAAACTTTGAGAATGGGGGAATGCCTGCCATCTACTCCAGTTTGTTGCAGAGATTGGACGAATTCCTCACCAGAGATGAACAGTTGGGAAAGGAGGAGGCTGAGGGAAGGATTAGGTCTTCACTCTTGTCAGGATCTTTATCAATGGCTCTTTGTTGTATCCTTCCCTATGCTGTTCTATAACTTAAAATAAAAAAACCCTTTTTATGTTAATCTTTGTTTTCTATGGTGAGCTCTGTGTGTGTGTTTTTTGGAAAATAAATGAATTTTATGGTGTCATATGTAGTTCTTGGAGGCCATCTTATCTTCAGGGGAGAGGGTAATCTATGTTTATCTATAGTTACTTTTTGACTACTCTCTCTACCGATTGTTTCATTTGACTTGAGTAGATATACAGAGAGTTTTTCGCTCAGGTTCTCTACATCCACAACCTAGAGTAAGTATCTCTGCTGCCTTTTGACCCATCTGCTGGATTGGAGTAAAATTTTCATCTTTACTCAAGCCATATTGAGTAATAACTCATCTTATGATTGTTCCTATGTGCAATATGAAACTGAATGCTGTATCCCACTCAAACATCTGGTTGCTTCTTGCATTGTTCTTGTTACTATCATGCTAATTTACTGGCATATGTTGGCAGATTTTATGCTTGCAGGGATCACCAGATGGACCTGAACAGTATGTTCTTTTCTGAACCTTTTGTGTTTTTTGCATTTTTCACCTACTGGTGTTTACTTGCAAGGTTCTATTCTTTTCAGGTATGTTGCAATCATGAATTCAATTTTCTCTGCCCAACGTTCTATGGTACTTCACACGACACCAAGCATTTCTTTCTCATTTGTTTAAAAATTTCTTCTTATTCTTGCTTTTAGAAATTTTATTTTTGCATTTTTTTTGGGATAACATGGGTATTTGGACCATTGGCCAAAGCTCCAGCCAAGGGGAGCTTCTTTCTTTTTCTTTTTCCTTTTCTTTTTATTTTTTTATTTTTTTATTTTTTTGGCCTGCATATTTTGTTACTGCATCTGTTGGATTAAATGAGTTTAATGCCACTGGATCCTCTGGATAGTTACTTATCAATAACATCATTAAGTTTGAGTAACTAAACGAATTTTGGAAGTGATTACTATTACTACTTTGATTCATAGGCTTTCAGCATTACAAGGTCATGCGTCTTGCTAAATTTATTCCTCTTTCAGGTTCCTATAGATTCTTGCTATATGGGTGCTCAGAATTCTGCCTTCCTACAGCAGGTTAAGTATCTCGAGCTGTTTAGTCCGAATGAACTATATTGCAACAGAGGCAGGAATATTCTCTGTTAATGGTAGTAATGGCGTCTAATACATGAATCTTACAGGCTTCTTACATAACTGGTGGCGTACATCATAAACCTCAACATTTGGATGGGCTCTTTCAATATCTCATGGTATGCTTTTTAGTTAATTGACAAGTTATTTAAATTAAGGATTGGAAATATTTCTTGTTGCTTCCAACTTATACTGTTGTTACAGACTTACAATTGTCTGAATCATATCCTGAGTTTTCACAATTGGAATTTGGAAGGAAGCTCTTGTCCTCTTTGGTCTGAATCTAGACATCATTTGGGTCCTGATTCTGAGTAGAAATTAGATGGATTGCTGCAAGTCTGTTTATGTTACATTGTTTCTCATTTCTGGAAGATATGATGTATGATTGTTTATCCATTTAATGATATTGCACTGCAAGTCTATTTGTTGTCCTCCTGTTAATTTTCTTTCCATGGAGTTCCTTTCCCCTTTATTTTTGCCATATGAAATTAATATGCCCTTGTTTTTGCATGCAGACTATTTTTGCTACTGATTTGCACTCTCGCAGCTTCTTACAACTTCCGAAGCCTGTTGGTGTTGATTTTCGTGCTTCGTAAGTTAAAACAACACTAGTTGAGTAAAATTCACAAAAAAGGTGTCTAAGTTTATGGAACTGCTGATGGCCAAAAAAGTCTATACAGCTGCATTGGCATTTCATAGCGATTGGACTTATTTTTATTTTTATTTTTATTTTTTGATAGTTCATCACGGACTGTATGTAGCTTCAAAGTTAAAAGTTGAAAGAGTAATATGTGAAAAATATTTTTTCTGGAATTTTTTTCTAAAAAATGGAAGTTTATACTGATGAATGAGTATTCCACATGGAGTAATGTCCTTGGTCAGTGGGGTATGGAATGGGGTGAATGTCGCTTTAAATTACAAATTGAAAGAGTAATATGTGAAAACATATATGCTGTTTCCTTTTCATGCCCAATTTTATTTTTGTTGATTATATAGGCTCTAGTTAAAGTGATAAATTCATTTGGGTCATCAATACTTTACTTAAATTATTAATTGGTAGGAATAATGCCTGATCATGTATAAAGTTTGAGCTTTCTCTTTCATATCTATTGCTTCCTTTCCTCATTTAGATTACACTTTACGCTTTACAGTGTTTACATTGCTGATTTTTATTCTGAATTTGCAGATGTTTTTGCCATAAAAGTACAATTGACATGGGCTACATCTGTTCTGTATGTTTGTCAATATTCTGTAAGCATCACAAGAAATGTTCAACCTGTGGGTAAGTGAATGTTACCCAAATTGGCTTCCAAAGTTTTACCTTTCCAAATTGGATTTTTAAGTGCTGGTTCAAAAGTTTTCATGTTCTCATCCATGGAAAAATCAGAAGAATTTTAATTATCTATTCATTCCACTTGTATGAAAAACGGATGTCATATTTTTCAGCTTGGGAAGCTTCTTTTGTATTTTATTTTTTGTGAGTTATTATTATTTGTAAGTGCAGATCAGTGTTTGGTCAGGCTCAATCAGATGCTGCCTCAGCATCTGATAAAAAGAGAAAGACTCCAGAAACATAGTGATAAAGGTCCCAAGGATGATCTGAAGGTTTTCTCAACTATGATATTTGGTGAGTCTTTCATACTTTGATGTTTATCTCATTGGCAATTACACATGCATAGCTCACTGGTATCTGCTGAGTGTTAGTTCTGTGCTTGTTTTCTTGTCATAGCAAAAGGATCTGTTTATGCTGAATTTCGAGGTGCTGAGTCTGCTGATAGAATTTCTATTTACAGTCAATGTGAATGCAGAAAGGAACAGTTTAGAAAGCCTCAATGCGAATTTCTATTTATAGTCTGTAATGTGAATTTCTATTTACAGTCAATGTAAATTTTGAGTTGCTGAGTCTGCTGGTATAATATTTTGTTGTTTCCCCTAAATTTTTCTTTCTTGACCCCCTGGTGTGAATTTTCTCTTTATAGTGATTCTCATCTGCGAGATGCTTGAAGACCAGAAGACCCTGCTCTTGGTTTCTTGAAGTCCTGCTCTAACATTCAGAATGTGTTGTCTCCATATTCTTGTTTCTTGCATTCCCTCACTCAACAATATAAGTCAAATTAATGTCATATTATTTATAGGATATAGAAATGAGACAAACAGTTTTGGCATGCTCCTCGCTTGTAGTGGCATTTTTCTTTGGAAATGGTGAGCATGATCCTCGAGTATTCTCTAGTTTTGGTGTAACTCGTGGGAATAAACATATTTTTATGGTGCTGCTAGCAAAATTTGTGGTATTTTCATCAACCATGTGAAGGAATAAGAAATGGTGACTGCATAGAGACATGAAGTACAACAGCAAGAACAGAGGATTTGATACACTTAATCAATGACGCCAAGTGTAAATGCCAAATTTTTTTACAATATTTACACAATTACGAATGATTGAGACACCACGAGAAATACAGGCACCAATATTGTTCAACAATAGACTTTTTCGATTGTCATCATGCATCTACTTTATAAAGTCTTGAGAACGACTTTGCCGGTTGTGTGGATACCCTGTGCAGCAAGTTTCAATATAGCACGGCTCCTATACAACCTGTGTTTAAAATTCAATTCACAAGAGTTAGAGCAATTGTGTATATAAACCTTAATTCATCTGGAGAAGAAGTTATTAGAATAATGAAACTCTGCCACCCCTATCCCCATGGAGTCTTGAGTTCCAGGGGTCAGAAGTTTTTACGCATAAATTACCTAATTTTCTCTCTTACAAAAGAAAGTTATATTGCATTTTTGATATTAGTGACAAACTAGCATGCCACAATTTCAAGAAACAGTACTCACCCTGTCAATGCAAGTCCCCAGGTTGACAGTGTGTAGAACATCTTCCCAGCATGCCAGATACTCATAATCTTCTCCACTTTCCCGACTCCACCCAATGCTTTTACAAGAGCTGCACATAGTCTCACAATGATAAGTAACTGAAGAAGTGCAAGCAAACAGAATAAAGACAGATTGGAAGATGGAATGGTGAGGAGGAGGCAAAAGGATCACAAGGTGAATTAGAAATGGATGGGCTAAGAATCAAATGGGAAAAGGAAAAACCATGAAGAACAATATGGTTTAGGGAAATTTCTTAATATCTGCATGAATAAGTAATAGAAATCGGAGAGTCAAAATACGGTAATCACCCAAATTTCTAGTCTAATTAGCAACCATTAATAAAACTAACATGATAAAGCATAATAATTATAGTATTATAAAGTCCTCAGCCCATCAAAAACGAAACAAGTTTGCAGGGCCTCAAACTGTCAAGGTCACAAAACTAGGAAAAATGGAAGAATATCTAGCATTCAACATATGGTATTCATTCACTTGCAATTGCATAACTTACTTTTCTGCAGCTCTTCTGGTGTCAAATTCTGCAATTGTAAGGCAGCAAAGTACATTAGATGCAGCAATGAAGTAAATTAGAAACAATCTGAATTGGTAGTTTGTGATACCTGAGCTTTAGGGTTAGACACAATGCATTTAGCCATAAAGTTGGCTACCCCATCAACAACATGTTCTTCACTGACAATGATATAATTCTCATCATCAATACCACTCCACTCCTCCACATTGTTTGGAACCATTTCATCAGTTACCCACACCCACCAACTGGGTTCTTCGTGGTCGACATTAATCAAAATTTCAGCTGAATGCACATCATCTCCTAATCAAAGGGCCCAAATCAGTCAATTAATAAGTTTCTGCATTCTTTAACATCAATGCACGGGTTTATTTACATGCAGGGAAGAAGAAGATTTATCTAGAAACCTGTAGCCTCCTTGAATGGAAACTCAACATTAGTATTGGCTTCGTGGAGAGCTTTGAGTCGAATCAAGAAGTTTTTAGAATCAACTGTAGATATCAGGCGCGCATACAGCTGCATTAATTTGCACAGGCGCAGCAATAATCAAAATTTTGAATTACAACAAATTGAATCCGAAGAAAAAAGATGCTAAATTTGATAATTGGGAAAAAAAATTTAGATGCTATTGAGGCGATATCGATCATAATAGCCACAATCGAAACCGAAATCAACATAAACAAATAAAAAACATAGAACGAGAAGAGAAGATGATATGATCCACGTACGTCCGGTGGGCAGTCGTTTAAGAGGGTAGGAGATTCAGATAGATTCTGAAGGAGCTTCAGGTTTTGGTCAAGAAGGTTTCTGAGACGGCGATTCTCTGATTTTAGATACTCCAATTCTTTCTCTTTCGTTGCCTCTGGGTTATCTTGGTTATCGTGTGTTCCGTCGTGGTGGTGGAAATGATGGCAACATTCCGCCGCCGCCCATGCCACGTCGGCGACCTCGAGAACCGTCTTGGCCACCTCTACAGCACCATGGCCCCCCATTCTTTACGGGAAATTTCGCAGAAACCCTAATTCGAAAGATTGGTAAAGAAAAACGATGCGGTCGATTTGTCGTAGATTGACTTCTGTGTCTCGGAAATCGTGATAAACGGTTCCGTTAGCTGTTTGGGATTTTATAGGATGGCGGGCCCTATATAGATTTACCAATATACCCCTAATTATTTTTTATTCCAAAAATAGTTTTTTTAAGGTAAAATGTCATTTTCTTACATTTTAAACTTTTAATTTTATACATTTTTACTCTTTAAATTTTTTTTTGCACTTTTTTTTCTTTAAAGTATAAATAAAATATTTTTTAAATTCTTTTGTTAATTAATTTGTTAAATTTATTGATATATGTATATTTTTTAAAGAAAAATAAAAAACAGAACATTTTAACATTAAAAATATCAAGATATCAAATAATAATTACATGATAAATTTAATAAAATTAAGTTGTGATTAGATGACTTGATATTTTTAATATAGAATGTTTTGATTTTTCTTTTTCTCATTTTTTAAAGACTAAAAATATATATTTATTATAAATCTAAAAATAAAAAATATATATTAACAAATTTAATAAAGTGACTAAAACAAAGACTAAAAAAAGTACAATATCTATAGTTTAGGGACGAAAGTATAGGACAAAAGATGGTTTAAAAATGTTCAAATTTTAAAATTTAAAGTAAAAAAAATCCAAAGACTAAAAATGGGCATTTAACCTTTTGTTGACCACAGACCTATTATATTATTCTGTACCGGTCTACACCCTAACAAAATCACCTTCTCCCCGAGAAAGTCAGGAACACACTCACTCCCCATCTTCCTCACGACTCACGCACACCGCACCGGCGAAACAGCAACCGATGGCGGAGGATGCGCACGACGCTGAAGCAATCAAGAAAGATGCAAAGGAAGCGTCGCTGCCGGAAGATATAGAGTCCCAAATTAAAACCGCCATGAGCTCTCGGGTCGCCTATTTCAAGGAACAAGCCGAGTACGGCCCCTTCTCTCTCAGTCACTGCGTTTATATGTATTCCTATCCAGTCCAGTGTGTATTTATCTATGTTAATCTTGTCTGTGGTGTTTATGTGCCGACTCATCTTTGATCTCTTAATTATTACTTATTAATCTTGATTATGAAGTTCGTAGAAGTTGAATATGGAGCAAAACATGGTTTTAGGGATTTAGCTGGTAATCTAAGGGTTTCAATTAATTTTTGAAATATTTTGGATATGAAGTGCGTTATCATCTGATTTAAATCAAGTGTTCCTTTTCTTCCTTTTTGTGAACATCACATAGCTATGTTTCATTGATCTTTCTGCATTCAGTTGCTCAGTTTTTTTAGAACCTACGTTTCGATGAGTTTTAACTTAATTAATGAGAAATTGAGAAGAGCGACTTTTCTTTGTAATTGTTGCAGTTCTTTGACATTTGAGAGCGTTCGGAGATTGTTGGAGAAAGACTTGGGGTTGCAGACTTTGGCATTGGATGTGCATAGGAGGTTCATTAAGCAATGCTTGCTGGAGGTAACCGTTTGTTGATATAAACATACTTTCTTGCGTGTTATATGAGTAGGTTAAATCATGCTTTGAGTCACTGAATTCTGATATTGTTTTGGTTTTCCTGTGCTTGAAAAGTTGCTCATGTAGTGAATGTTTTGCATTGGAAATATCCAAGGTTGGTCTTGGCAGAAAAGCATCCATATGTTATGGTAGAAATCATATGATTACCTTTTTGTAAACAATATCATTCTCTATTGTTGACAGGATTTCTTGTAGCTTCATACTTCTAAACATTAGTGAGGATTTTCATTTAATCAATATGCTTGCACTATTCTTTTTAGTGTTTTGATGGTAAGGATGATGGCAATGCCTCCAAGAATTCTGGTGAAAAAGTGGACATAAACGTGAGTACAACTTCAGAAGTAGTAGGATCACCTAAAGGGCGTCAACCAAAGAAAGAAGTAAAGGAACAATGCTCCGAAGATGAAGAGAAAATGGAAGATTCTCCTGTCTTTGGGCTTCTTTCTGGACACAAAACTGCTAAAACTGAGAGCATCAAAACCGAGCAAGAAGATGCTAAAGAAGTGTCTGAGGGTGAAATAAAGAAAGCCATCAGAAAGAGAGCTTCTTATGTAATAGCTAATTCAGAGTATGTTACTTATTTTTTTATTTTGCCTATTAGCTATTGTACAATTCTCTGAGAAAAAAGAAGTTACAGTGTAATTTCTTTCTCATTTATTGTTTTGTCTTCTGTGAGCATTTGTATTTTGTTTTTCCCTATATTAATATCTTTATGGTCATTTCTTCCTTGGTAATGTGATTAAAACAATTTTTCATCACATGCTTTGTTTCAGTAAAGTTACAATGGCTGGTCTTCGTCGACTTTTAGAGGAAGATATGAAACTTGATAAACATACGCTTGACCCATACAAGAAGTTCATTTCTGAACAGATAGATGAGGTGAGAAAATTTGTTTATGAGGAATCATTATGGCTTCTAAAGGTACTTTGTTTATCCTAACTTTGTTGTAATTGTATTTCTTTTTCAGGTGCTGAAGTCTCGTGAAGTTTCTGCCCCTGCAAGTGAGGCCAAGAAAAATCTTAAGAAAGATTCTCAGATCAAAGCATCTAGAAAGTCTAGTACCAAGAAGAGTTCTAATTCATCAGGAGATGAGGAGGAGGAGGAGGAGGAGGAAGAAGAAGAAGACAATGAAGAAGATGAAGAAGATGAAGAAGATGAAGAAGAAGAAGAAGAAAGACCTAAAGGAAAATTTGTTTCAAAAGGGAGACCTAAGAACTCTGAAGGGCATAAAAAAAGGAAAAAACCTGAAAAGGAAACCAAGGTGCCAAGCAAGAAGAAAATTAAGGCCGTGGAAAAAGTTTCTGATGGTGATAGTGATGCAGAAGGTGGTGGGGTTGTTTCTGAAGATAGTCACTCACGATCGTCTGCTGAAAAAACGGTGAAGGTTTTACTTTTTTTTTTGTCGTTGTTGTTGTTGAAAGTCTGCCAAAAATCTACATATTGATTGGGTCTCCAGTTTAATCTATCATTGAAATGCAGAGGAAAGAAGCTTCAACCCCGATATATGGGAAACATGTGGAGCATCTAAAATCTGTTATAAAATCATGTGCAATGAGGTGTTTCTCCAACCTGTTAAAAGTTGAAATCCTTTGTGTAATTGATGCATTAACGTTGTTTATTTCATTTTACAGTGTTCCTCCAGCAATTTACAAGAAAGCCAAGCAAGCACCTGAGAACAAACGTGAAGCCGTCCTAATAAAGGAACTGGAGGGTATTCTTTCTAAAGAAGGATTGTCACCAAATCCTACAGAAAAAGGTTAATTTTCTTGCTCTGAATTATAAGTCATAAACATCTGTTTTTTTATCTACGTAGGTGATGTTGTTTGCAATGAGAAAAGTCTTTTGATGAAATTGACTTTGTTATTGATTGAAGAAAAAGGAAGGTAGGGGGATGGAAGGGAATGACTTGAACCATGGCACTTGTGGATTGTTAACTTCATTTCATTTATTGTCCAGAGTGCTTGTCTATTTCCCATTTTCTTTATCAATTTTTTATTTTTGTTTGGCAGAATAAGTAATAATCAATCACAAATTTTAATTTCAATGATTGCAAGGCATCATGGTTCTGGGAAGTTTCGTAATTAAGTACACAATTTTTGGTCCAAAGGCAGCTTTAAAATTTACATGTAGAATGTATAGACTTGTTAACACCCCACGCACAGAAGATGCATTTACTAGGTTTCATAACTTGCGGGTATGTTAAATCTGCAGAAATAAAGGAAGTAAGGAAGAGAAAGGAAAGAGCAAAAGAACTTGAAGGCATTGATACAAGTAATATTGTATCAAATTCACGCAGAAGGTCCACAACCAGTTTTGTACCTCCCCCAAAGCCCAAAATAACTGATGCAAGTGACGACGATGATACTGATGACGACAACGATGACGACAACGATGATGATGATGATGATGATGATGATGGAGATAATGATGATGAGGAGGATGGTGGAGATGAGGGTGATGATGAGAGCCAGAGTGAAGACTCCAATGATGGTAAGTATCTGTCAGTACCCTGCCGAATTGCAAGGACATGAGTTACTTATAGTGCCAGTAACCTCTGAACTAAGCAGTTAGTCCCCCCGGCACCGGGATTTGGGCAAGCACTGCCATGAATTGCAGCAGCAATATTTTGAGAAAATATTAACCTAATAAGTAATTTAACTTGATTTCTTAGGAAGGTGCTTGATGAATCAAGATTAGTCCCTTTGAGAGTAACATCCTAGAAAATTCTTCCATTACATTCAATGATAAGATGGCTCTTGGTCTGCTTGTGATTTTTTTTTTTTTGGGCTAGATGCTATTCATGAGACAAGACCCATTAGTCGTTACCAATGGAGAAGTTAAAATTATTTGCTGACAGAAGAGACTTGAAACCATCATTACCCAACTATGGTTTTTGAATGTTACTGTCACTTTTTGTATACAGACTGGTTTGTTGACATTGATGACCCATTGAAAATTGGAAAACAAGATCTCCTAGTAAAATGATGTGCCAAGTTTATAGAAAATCATAGAAGAGCTTTGGGAATATGAAGTGGAACCATTTTATTTCTTTGGTATCACAGCACCCTTATTCATTACATCATTTCTTAAACAATTATAGTTAGATTGTAGATTGCATATATTCATAGGTTTTTGTCACATTTTCCTTACATGATGTGCTCCATATCCTTGCAGAGGAAGATGAAGACAGTGATTGAATCCTGCATGAGGCAAACTTGCAAGATGACTGGAGAACAGACTTGTCAATTGTAGGCTGATGATGGTATGCTGTATTTTTGTAACTATTTTATTTATCTTTTCTATTTTGATTTGGTGTGGGAACAGATGGCCTTTGATAGAGAATGCTCTTCACTATGCTTACTAGGATTTTTTTTAGCTGATCTCAATGTCGTACCTTGTAGAAAAGAAGTCAGTGATCAATCTTAATTCATAGAATGCTGTGTTGTGTTTTCGATATCTATGTTGTGTTGTGTTGTGTTGATGACAGTCATTTCCCATTTATCAAGGCACTAGGATTTAGAAATTCCTTCAACATTTGGGAATTGGGATGCAAATTCCCATATTCCAAAAAAAAAAAAAAAAAAAAGAGAAAAAGGTGGAACGTACCCTTCTGGGTTTCTCAAAACAGAAGATAATTTATAAATTTGCTCAACAACTTTGATTGAGTTTCCAGAAAAAAATGGGGTATTGTAAACCCAAATCCAAGGAAAAATTGATTAAAAAAAAAAAAAAAAAAAAAAAAAACCCAGGAGTTTTCACAAACCCGAAGTCAACACATCTCATTGATATTCAAAGTTTTATTCTCTTGCAATTGTCCCTCGGTTACAAGTGATCATCTAACAGTTTGACAAATCCTTGTTAATGTTACCACTATCAATCTTGATGGACGTAGTCGAATTGACCGTGTTTGTGACTGGCAATTCCAGGGCATTACCACCATCTTTGGCTGCTACAGCCGAGTCTCCCTGATCTTTGCTTTTGCCCCACAGCACAGTGTAAAGACCAAAGATTATGAGAAGTGTTCCAATTATGCTGAAATTATTATTCAATCAAATTCTCAGTACTACCCAACTAAAACAGAGGAGATGGCTTTTAATCTGAAAAAGAAACATAAACGTACCTTCCCAGATTGACACTCTCCGATAAAATGATGGTGCTTAGCGCTGCGGTGATAATCATGCCGAGAGGGCTGAAGGCTGTCGTAAACACAGGCCCTCGCTCCTTCATAACAACTCCTTGAATGTAATATGCCACTCCAGAGCAAACCACACCCTAATCAATCAAAACAAACCAGTTAATATTTGCTAAATATACATGTATCATTTTAACCAAAAATGAGAGTAGTAAATGGTGCTAGAACTTACAGAGTAAACAGCGGCAAGGAGGCCGAAATCAAAACCAATCTTCCAGGCCTTAGTGTCCCGTTCCACAACCAACGACACAGCAGCACCACCAAGAGTGCCCATGAAGCATATCAGTGTGGTCAAAGACAGCTCCGCTGGGTAGTGGTTCAGCGTGAATTTCTGCAATATGAAGAAAGCAGACCAGCCCCAGCACCTAGCCAGGAGCATGAGTGTTCCAATCACCCAGCGCATCTTGTCTGCGTGGCCGTTGCTGGTGGCTGCATGGTGGCTGCTGCCTCCGAACACAGCAGGGCCTTGATAGAAAGTCATGATTACTGCTCCAGGGATCATAATCACTGTTCCTACCACCTTTGCTATACTCTGTATTTTCTTCAAGTTCACACTCTCTAGCCTATAATCATGACACATCCAAACAAAGAATTATTTTTTTATTAAAAAAAAGTTGATAAGTGGAAATTTAATTTTTAGAACATGTTTGGATTAGTTTGTAGGAGTTTTTATTTTATTTTTATATTGTTTATGAGTGATAAATTTAAATTTTTATTGTAAAAAAAATTTAAAATTGCTTTTAAAGATAGGAAAAAATGAGTAAAAAAATTTATAAAAAGTAAAAGTTTAAAGTTTTTAAATTTTTACTATTTAAAATCTTTTTAAAATTAAAAAAAAATTTAAAAATATAAAATTTTTAAAAAAATTTAAATTTATAAAATATAAATAATATCAAAAAATTAAAATATTTAAAAACTAAACCGAACATAATTGTACTGAGGTTTTGCAAGTTGCAACGTACAAAGGAAGTACTTCCTCAAAAGTGATGGTGGACATTCTACAAGGTGAATTACTGTGCATCATTTCTTCTTTTCTTTTTTCTTTTTTTTTTTTCCTTGTAACAAATGCATCATTTGGTATATTCAAAAGCGCTTTGTTGTGGTCACTATTTCACCCCATAAAATCATAAAGTTAAACAAATTGTATATATAAATTGATTTTGTAAGAAAATTACTTCGCCTTAAGGCAAAATTAATTTGTGACATGATGATACTAGATCTTAGAAACAAATTTAAAATTATTCATTTTAATGGTAAAATCAACTTATATAATATGATACAAAGTTTTAAGTTCAAGATTAAATAAATTTATGCATACCTAAAAATAAGTGCCAGTATAAAAGTAATGGCGGGAAGGACATTGACAGTGGCAGAAGCAAGGGTAGCTGAGGTGTATTTCATTCCCAGGTAATACAAGTTCTGGTCTATCACTGGCCTGCACACAATTAAAATTTAATTAACAATTAATATTCTTTCCTTCTTCATAACCTCTTCTCCATTTGTGCAAGAAAATCAAGTCAATGGTAGTTAATTAAGGTTTTGAGAGAATTACTCAAGGAAACCAAGGACAGTTATTCGGAGGAAGATGGGGAGTGTCATCTTTGGCCTTATTTTCCTGAGAGAAACAGATGAATGGATGCATTTAGTACTAAACAATAACAATATATAGAAAGTTACGCATTCTGAAATAAAAATGTGTAATCGTTATAAATAAATGAAGTAGATTACCTTTCAAGGACTAAAGCAAAGGGTGCAATTACAAGCGTCGCGACCAAGTGACGGTAGACAGCAAGAATGTAATGGTTCATGCCATGGTTGAAAGAAACCATGGTGATAACATACATCCCTGCATATCCAAACTGCAGAGACACCATTGCCAAGTATGGCTTCACTCTGTTCAGCACCTCCATGACAGCTTTCTCTCCCATTTCCTCCTCTTCCTCTGTTTATTTCTTACAAAAATAGAGAGGGAAGTAGTTTTCTTGTGGAGGTGCCAGGTGCGACGTTCTAACTGCCTACTTATAGGCAAAGAAAAATAGCCCAAAGAATTTGGTACAAGTGCCCGTACAGATATTAGAACATTACCTTATCCATGAAGAGATGGAAGGGAACAGTAATGAAATCTGTAATAAAAAAAAAATGAGGGTAAGATTATGGGTATTGAGAAGTGGGGAATCGATTCACATACACCAAATAAAAAGAAGGTTTAGTGGCTTCCTCTGGCTTCCTCTGGATGATGCATGCAATGTTTATTGGTAAGTGGGTGGCATCAATGGTGGCTACCCACGACTTCATTTCCATTTCTAAACATGCTTTCATAAGTAAACTCACATGTAATTACTCTCTTATATATCCATTTCATAAAATTACTCAAGAATTGAGATGATTAATTATTATGAGATCGACTTAGTGATTAAAATTTAAATTAATCTTGAGATGGATAAGGAAAGTAACTTAGTTATATAAGTGACATTTTTTTTAATAAGATGTGATATGTATTTCAAGAAATATGAATAATAGTAGTGGGATTTATGGGTTTGGAATTAATGGATGATAACATGTTCAACTAAAAAATGCTTAAAACATTATATAAAGGGAAGATATGTTTCTTGGCAAAGCATGTGAGATATGTGGAAAAAAAGGGCTGTTGTATATTCCAGCATTAATTTAGTTGTGCTTTCATTTTGCTTGCTGATTAATCAGTGACTCAAGCATAATGTAATTTCACATTACCTTTCAAGTATTGCTCAATTTCTGGATTGCCAGATGACCGACATTTGCATCAATATGAGTTGCTCAATTGGGTACAAAATTTGGAGGTTATGATGCCTATAAGAAGAGTGAGTGAAGATTTCTTCTTTATGCAAGTTTCTTCAGCCACAATTGGGTACAAAATTTGGAGGTTATGATGCCTATAAGAAGAGTGAGTGAAGATTTCTTCTTTATGCAAGTTTCTTCAGCCACATAAAACGGACAGTACACACAAGGACTTTTGGGTCAATTAGTCACACATGTATTTGTAAATCTCCATTCAAAAGTGGCAAACATAGTCTTTTGAATTGTTTGCACCAAAAAATAACCTTTATGTGAAGTTAGAGACAATTTTTTTTTTTAATCTATATGTAATTTTTGTTGGGTAGTTTCACATGATTAAAAATAAAAACTTTTAATATAAAATCATCAAACCAAACTATATGAAAAATTCAAACTAAAATAACTAAAAAAAAAAAAAGATAGGAGGGAGGGAGTAATTAATATTGTGCTGAAATTAGTGGGACTGAGCTTTAGCTAGCAAACTTAGAAAACTTGGCCACGTTCCAAAAACACATAAAGAATATGAACCTCCTAGGATCTTCCCTTAGCTATATACAAATAGTTAATTTTACTACACTAGAAGATTGAATTAGGCTAGAAGTGTTTCGTTGGCCTATTTTTTGTAGAATTGTTTCTCTATTAGGAAACTTGAGAAGTTGGTCTAATACTGGTTTTGACCTTTTATATATATAGTTAGTTACTTAGTTCAGATAATGTTTTTTGCCCAAAAATGAGTGTTAGTCTAATTTTATAGTGCTATTGTTATTACTGTTATTATTGTTATTGTTACTGTTGTTGAATATTTTTTCTTATAAAAAATGAAGTTAGTGTTTCATTAGGTTTAAACTTGACCTTAATTCTATAATTAAGGCTTTAAAATTAGTTAACATTTCGTTAGTCCAATTTTATATTAATAATTTGAAATTTATAATTCAATTTAGAGATTTATTGTCTAAGTACGTATGATATAAAACCACAATAATATAGGTTTAGTAATATATATATATATCCTTTAAATTTTATGTAATTCTTTTAATAACAAAGTCCAAAGTCCAAACCTTTAATTTAGGTAAAAATTAATCAACATTCTTGAGTTTAATTAATTTACTCTAGAAACAATCCCCATTTTATATTAATAATTTGAAATTTATAATTCAATTTAGAGATTTATTGTCTAAGTACGTATGATATAAAACCACAATAATATAGGTTTAGTAAT